ACCCGCCCGCCCCGACATAACTTGTAGCATTTCAGTTGTATTTTTTTAACACATTTTGAAGGCCTAAAATCCATTAATTTAGGTTAGGAAATTATTTATGGATTATAAGGTGTCACTGTTCCCATTAAAAGAAAAAAAAATCAAAACTAACATATAAATAAATCTTAAACTTTAAGCTATAGAGTTGGAAGTAAAAAAGTTACAATAATACTTTATATATATGTAGCGTATCATGACCCGACAGGACGAATCAGCCAAAACCTAAACCCAACCTGAACCTGACTCAGGTTGAAGAATCAAAACCCCTAACCCAACCCTAAAGCCAAATGTATTGACCCTAACCCAACCCTAAGGTCGAGTCAAATCGGGCTTACTATTTAACGAAGACAAGGTCCTATGACATTTCAAATATTTTCATGTTCAACAAAATAAAATTCCAGAATGAACCCTTAATTGATAATTTATAGCATTATTTTCAAAATTTAAAACTAATTAAGGGTTAGGCATCAAACACAAATAACCTTGTCTTTTCTCTTGATGATAGTCATAAGAATGAGGGCATTAGATAGCATTATTCACCCCTGAAACTTAAAAATTAACTCAACTAGTGACTTAGGGGATGTTTGGAACCATAACCGTTTTTCAAAAAAATGGTGTCACGTCGGATCCACATAGGCGTTTCAACAAACGCCCATGTATCTCATTGTTTAGTTCAGCAGCTGATTATTAAAAAATCAGGCATGCCTCAAAAATTGGGACCCCACCAATGGTGAACCGTTTCCCCCAACGGTTGACTGATGTGTATCCTATCTGGTGCTTATCTGTCAGTACATACATGAAAAACGGTGATGAAAATCACCTTATAGTGTTGCTCATTGCCTACGTGGCAGAAGCGTTTTTTTTTTTTTGTGAAAAACAGGTATTGGAAGCATGGATGTTTTTTCTTGAAAATCGGTCCCAAAAAGTGTCCACGCTTCCAAACACCATGTTAGTAATCCATTTGGTTGAACCATCAAGCATTTTAACTCAATGATGGGGTCGATCACAACTATAATTTAAATATATATTCTTTTTATGTTTTGGTTTTAGCCATTCCATTGTCAATAACGAATTCCTCATGGTTTCCAAAACTGGACTGGACCGGAAAAATCAAGAACCAGTCAACTAATAGGTTTCATTTTCCCCCATAGTCGTCATTTTGGCCAAAAACCATTGATTTGGTTAACAAACCACTGACTCAGGCGATCGAACCATTTGAACCATACAGCGGTTATTTATTTATTTTTTAAAATTTTTAAATTTTTTGTCATAATGGGCCATCCATTCGGTTCAATCGGTTGGACCATTCGACCCGGGAACCAGACCCCTGAACAGTTCATTGTCCGGTTCGGTTTTAAAAACATTGGAATTACTCCTCCTTTACCATATTTATTTTCATTTAATATGATCAATATATGTATATATGTAATATAATTACATATATAAAGTTTATAATTAATAAATTCAATATTTTATATTTATATAAACTTTATATACATACAAGTTAAAACTAATTAACATTTTTAAACTTTCTAAACTTTTCTTTATTTTAAACACAACAAAGCACTTTCACATTAAACCCGAATTCAATTTAAATTTGATATATAAGATTTTGATTAGATTCAGATTTGAAGTTTCAATAATTAGGCTGAATTTGAATGTGGCTTAACCCAAGCAGACTTTAGCTATGGGTGCCACATTTTTTTGATAAATAAACTAAACTTAGAATTAAGAAAGACAATCAAAAGAGAGGTCTAGCTAGTTGGGAGCATTCTCCTAGTAGCAAAA